TGGTGGACCTGCAATGGTATGGCAGGGAGTGAATCCCCCCAGGGCCCAGGATACTGTCTGCTTGGAGAAAAAGGTCAATTAGGCGGTGGCCTCTGGAGGAGGCGACTGAAGAGGAAGACGGTAGTCAAGCTTCTATCTTGTGCTCCCTCTCAACTCTTCAACTCTGTACATGGGACGCTGGACCCGATTTCCGGCAGGTGGAGGTCCCCACCAATCGACTGGAGCGTCTGGGGCCAAGCTCCTAGCGGAAGCTGCTCCTATCACTTCCTCTAGCAGTTAGGCCCCGACAAAGATTAATTATATTATTAGGCATGGATGCTGAGCACCCAGTGAAGATAAATTTGAACTTGACAGACAATGCAGGACCATATATAACCTTGGTCCAAACCTAGTGACTTCAAGGACAACTCAAGAACAAGCCTGGAGGCCCTGGACCAACACAAAATGGGTATAGCTGAAAGTACACAAGTTGGAAATCAATAGACGAACTATACCAGACGTACCCCTGACTGTTCTGATCCCTTCAGGGACCCGGCCCGGCCTATTGAGGAATCCAAATCAAGAGGAAGAAACAGAGAGAGGCAAACCAACACACTGCCAATCTCTGCGTCACACGATCGAAACACTGCCCGGTCGCCCCAAAAATGCATTCCAAAAGCAAAGGCAGAGGAGAGAACATCTCCACCCCCTCGACTACCAGTGGTAAGGATTCGTGATGATTGGCGAGAGCGAGTTGTGCGAGAATTGGTGTGTCCGTGTGGTGTTGTGTGTGGTGTGTGTTGAGTTGGACACTACAGCCTTGCACGGGTGGGGTGGATATCACGACCGGTATGGTTCCACTTTTGAAAACCATGTCCTGGCTGTAGTCGTTAAGATACCTGGCTCTTGAGGCTGAGGTCGTCGGTTCGAATCCGTGCTTGCATGGTGGAGGACGTGGCTCATGCTGGGATGGGTAGCGTCATCCTCTAACCTCAGCTGTGGGGGAGCTAGATGTGCAGATTCACTTAGCTTCCCCTCCTGGCCCGACAGGAAAAGACCGACATAACAACCAAAAAGACACAAACCGGTCAAAAGTCCTCGACCCAGGGGTGCACGACACTGAGGGCAGAGCGAATAAGAGGCAGGCACCTCCTCACCCCCAGCCAGTCACGGCCCCGGCAGCCTCACCTTCCCCGCATCAGGGTAAGGCCATAGTTGTCATACAGAGCGAAAAGGCTCTGCCTTCGCTCGCAATCTTGCCACAGCCCAATGAGGAGAGTGAGCCCTGGTCAGACATAGCGGTGACAGAGATCCGAAACCAATTGGCCACAACTACAACTCCGCTTGAAACAACGGTCGCAGAAAGGGACACGCCTCAAACCTCACTCACAAACAGCCTTCATGTTCTTCCTCCAAGTGCTCATGCAGCGGCTCCCGAGTGTGAAATAACAGTGACAGAGATCAACACACTCAGATCAGCTCCTTGAGGCCATGCAGCCGCAGGCCTTACACTGCAGGCTCACGCACAGGAGAGGGGCGAGCAGGGGCAACAAAGACAGGTGGAGCAACACAAGGAGCTCCCCGGTTTACCACACCAGTTGAGAGGCACGTCGACATGGATGGATTCCAACCAGACAAGTCTTGCCCTGAGTCGTCCTGCCCCGCACCTGTCACAAACCAAAAGTCAACCCTTGGGGACACTGAAGGCCCCTAAAACTGGGGACAATGGTAACCTCAGAGGGACGAAGCCGTTACGGGTGTGGGTTAAAAGCCAACTCTTTGCTCAACAAGATGATGGATGCTGCTTTCTCCCAACAGTGGGACCTCACCCTCAACAAACAGTCTGTGCAGGGGGGGCGGCAAGGGGAAACACAGTGTCCCGGTGAACGAGGAGAGGGGAATTTCCCTTTACGGACAACCCAAATCACCTCCCGCTGCCCCGCTGCACCGGTACCTGCAGCATGGAGAAGCAAAGGAGCAAACAGGGCAAGAGGAGCCGGAGCAGCACAAGAAAGCCTTGGTATCTGCGGGCTCACCGGGCGTGCCTAAAAAACAGATACTAGGAATGACGCAGAAAGGTGAGGTGCAGGTCTTTTAAGGAGAGTCGGAAAGAAGCTCAGTGGGCACGGGCGGCGGTGGGGCCCTTGGCCCTGCAAGGGCCACAGCAGCCCCCGTCGCCCGATGAACCTGCAGCAAGAAGAGGCGGAGTAGACCGGACCTGAGAGGAATCTGGAACAAAACGGGAAAGGCTGCCGCCCCACTCGGTGGCAAGCAAAGAAGAGAACCAGGTCCCACAAAACCAAAAGCAGGAAGAAGCTGCGTGGGCTCGGGCAGCTGTGCCCCCGCTGGCCCTGCAAGGAGTGATGCCGCCCTGTGACCTGCACCATGGGCAACATGAGCTGAGACATGCCAAAGTAGCTCAGCCACAGGAGAAACCGCATGGACCAGGAGTGAAGACAGCCAACCCCCCCGCTTCCACCGCAACGGGAGGCGAAAGGGTCGTAGCAAGGCGAGTTTCAACTCACGGCCAACAACCGCTACAGCTGGAGTAACATGAACTTGGTCAGGAGAATCCAGCATTGAAAGCTGACCTTGATATCCTCATGAGCAACAATAACAGTGACTCCCGCAACACCTGCAGCACAAGGGCAACAGCATCAACAGCAACGAGCGCAGGAGCAGCAAGAGCAAGAAACGCAGCGGCAGCTCCAACGACAACAGCAACTGCAACTTCAGCTACAGGTACAAGAGGAACAACAACAAGGGCAGTAGCACAGCAAGTCCAAGAGGCACGACAGCGGCAGATTCAGCAGCAACACCGGGGCAAACTGCAACCACAGCCACAGGCACAGCAAAAGCAACAGCAACAACAACAGATGCAGCAGCAATACCAGCAGGTACAACAGGTACAGCAACAACAGGTGCAGCATCAGCAGTTGTTACAGCGAGAGCAAGAACATAAAGAGCAGCAACACCTGCAACTCATGCAGCTGCAACAACAACAGCAGCAACAGCAGGCACAACAGATGCAACAGCAACACCAACACCAACACCGGCAACAACAATACCAGCTTCATCAGCAAGAACGAGAGAGACAGAGGCAGATCCAGCAGCTGCAACAGCAAGAAGACCACCAAAAGCTGCGACTACAACTTCAAATGCAGCATCAGCAACATCAGCTGTGGCAGAAGCAAGAGCAAGTGGCGCAGCAACAGCTCCAGCTGCAACAACAGCAGCAACTAAACGTGCAAGAGCAAATACAGCAAGAGCAGCAGCAGCGCCAACAACAGCTGCAATATCAGCAAGACCAGCGGCTGCCACACCAGCAACTGCATCAGCAGCACCAACAACAGCAGATTCAACTTCAGCATCAGCAAACCCAGCACTTCCAACAACGAAAAGGAACACCAACAATGCATACGACTGCAAATGTGACAGCAAATGCAATGGCAGGCACAGCAGCAACCACAACAACAACAGGGCATGCAACAGGAGTACGAAGAGCACCTCCAGTGCCTGCTACAAGCTCAGCTGGTGCAACACCAGCACCAACAACAACAGCAGCAGCTGATGCAACAAAAACAAATGCTGCAGCAGCAACACCAACAAATCAGCCTGCACCACCACCAACAACAACAGGAACAGCAGTTGCAGCTACAAAGGCAGCAACACCTCTGCTGGCCGCAACAACAGCAACACCAGTTGCAGATGTACTGGCCACACAAACTAATGAAACAGAAACAGCAACAGCGACAATTGCAGCTGCACTCCGCACTACCCCGCATTGCACAGCCAGACCGTCAAGAAGAGCATCTGGAGCCGGAAGACATGGACACCTCAGCCCCCACGGAGACTCGCCAGGCGACGATGAGCGAGAACTCATAAGAGGGGGCGCAACCACGACCCCCGCCCACTGGAAAGGAAGCAGAGGTGGCACACAGTCACACCCCGCCAGCAGAAAACACCCCCTGCTCCTCCCCTCTCCCCCCCTGGACTCACTACACCATCCCTCCCTCAAAAGGCTGCAAGAAGCAAGAGACCACCTCATAAGCCTACATAGATCAACAGACTCAAGCCTACAGGATACAAGCGAGAATAAGACAGGAGCACGCTGAAGGAATTATGGAAAAATCCTTCTTCGACAAGGCCAAGACCAGAGTTAGGGTCAAAGCAGTCCCGTGAATCATACATCCCTTCGATAACGATGCCCCATGACGTCCAACGCGTATACCATAGTAGAGTATGCCTCTGAATATTACCAAAGCCTCGTCATATCCCAGACTCCCTTCTGGGACCCCAACGAAGTCCTACAAGCCAGAGAAACGTTGCTAGAAGCAATCCATACACGACCTTCATGGCTACAAGACTTGCAACAATGCGCATTAGGTAATCTTATCGGTGCTTAAGAAGTTTGGGAAGCCCTGCAAGATATTGATGAAGAAAAACCCCATGGTGTGGACTTTTTCCCCAAGGAATTTTGGGTACAGTTTTGGGACCTCCTTCGTGAAGACCTTATGAACTACATTGAAGCAGTACGGAGAGAAGGCTCCTTCGGCAGTATGATGGAAGAAGGGGTTACTACACTTCTTTAGGAGAAAGGGGACAAGGAAGCTAATAGGAATTAGAGATCAATCACCCAAGAGCCTAACTCAGTGGGTACAACACTGAACTGTTGAAATACAGACCCGTGTGCGAACCTAGATGATGGAAAGTAAAACCAAATATTTCTGAATTGCCTGGGGCCGGTCAGCTCAAACATGATATCTCAAGACCGTTGCCCTTTTAAAAAAAAAAAAAGGAATTAGAGATCAATCACTCTCCTCTGTTCCCTTACAAATTGGTAGCTAAGACCTTTACAAACAGGCTTCTAACGCTAATGAACCTACTAATTCATTATGACCAGCAGGCTTCGTGCCCAACTGCAATATCCACGATAACATCCTACTCGAACCATCAAATACGCCCGCCGACGACAAGTACAAACAGCGGTGTTATCCATAGATATTAGAAACGCGTATGATCACGTGAACTGGGACTTCTTGGACATGTGTCCAACCGGGATGAATTTTGGTCCAACCTTTTGCCACTGGGTCCAGCTCCTTCACAAATCCCCCTCAATAAACATCGTGTTGAATAGCCACTCGTCAGCACCGATTTACCTTCAGAGGCATGTGCACCAGGGACACTTGGTCGCACCTCTACTCTTTATCATTGTCGTGGAACCCCTTGCATCTCTTATCAGAGCTCATCCACAGATCCACAAGGTGTCGATCCTTGAGATGCCAGAGTACCTAGTACCAGTGACATTGTTGTTTGCAGACGATCTTACGGTCCCCATACGTGCAGATGCAGGAAAACTCCAAACCTTGCCTCGGGTCATACACTGGTTCTCACTCACTGCAGATATGAAATTCATTCTCGCCTCGGCCGAAAGTATCGTGGATAAGAAAAAAAGAGGCCATTAGGGTTATGGGACTAAGACTAACAGCAGTTGGCCCCTCATAGGATCATGGGGACATGATGGTTAACATGTAAATGGACCGATTAACTAGGTTGGAAGGTCTGCACCTCATTGGTAGGATGTGCTCTGTCATGGAACCCCCCCTTATCAGATCCCATCCGCAGATCCACAAGGTGTCGATCCCCGAGATGCCAGAGTACCTAGTATCAGTGACATTGTTGTTTGCATACGTTCTTACGGTCCTCATACGTGCAGATGCAGGAAACCTCCAAATCTTGACTCGGGTCATACAGTTGTCATATGAAGGAGGCTGGGCCCGGTTCCCAGCACGTGCCGCTCCCCACAAATAGATCAGAGCTTTTGTCCCCCCCCCCAAAAAAAAAAAAAAAAAAATACAGAAGTCACCCCTGCCGGGACCGAAAATATCATGGATAAGAAAAAAAGAGGTCATTAGGATTATGAGACTAAGACTAACAGCATGGGGACAATGCACCTCATCAGTAGGACGTGCTCTGGCGATTAACAATGTCATGCTATTAGTCATCTGGAATAAATTGGCAATGTGGCTTTTAAACAACAACAACATGCTAGACTAAAGAAGACACTTGTGACTCGTGATATATCTATGGAAAAACAACGCAAATGCTAAAGGTAGTGTGAACCGGGTGAGGTGGGAAGTACTGACACAACCAAAGAACAAGGGCGGATTAGGATCTTGGACCCAGAGAGGGAGAGCGAAGTTTCTATCTTTAGAGTCCCCGTGAGACTCCTGACAGGTAACGACATACCTTACGGTCCGTTGGCCTGCATATAAATAAGTAACCTGGGGTCGGAGTTTGCCGCCACCAATTGGGTGTTCCCTCTACAATGGCTGACCAACAGTCAATGGACCATACCCTCCCCTCCACAACATAGGCACGCTGACAAACCTGCACAAGCGACCAAGATGAATATCCCCCTGGCCCCCCTATGGCCATACACGCTCAAGCTTTGGAGGCGAAACGGACTGAGACAAATGCCACCACCCAACAGATGGCACGAATTATGGCGGCAGCCCCTCTTTGGGAACCCCCACATCTTGGATGAGACCGGCAACCCATTCTCGCTCGGAACGAACTCGCCATGGCTCACCTGGGTCAAAAAAGGCATTTTCACGATTGGCGGCCTTTAGGATCCATTATAGGGGGACTGGTCCAACGCCACACAGCTGCCGCAAAACTAAAGCACGCAAAAACTGGTTTTGAAAGCGAGGCTAAACCCATTCGCCACTCGACTCGCTTTTGAAAAAGGGTCAACCATCCAATAAGAGGATTGGATCATCAAGTACGTCAATTTGCCCCTACGGCTCTTGGTTTATAAAGTGCAAAAAAATGACAATGGAATCTGCACACTAGGAGCAACTACCAGGTGCTAGGCTCTCGAGGCTACACTGCAGCATTGGGGGGGCGAATACAGATAAGGGTAGTAGGAGATCCCAAAGATGAGTTGTGTGCTTTTGAGCCCACTACTCCGATCGCCAGACTCCCGTTTGACCCAGGGAATGGAAAAGGTTAGGAGCAAAGCGTATGCACATTTGGAATTCTACTGTCAAAGGAGGGCATAGAGCCTTGTGCCCAGATTTGCCAACCAATCAAGCAATATAAAAAAGATGGGCGAGAGACTCGCCTCTGGAACCCAAGTTGCTTGAGAATCTTATCTGGTCTTCGTGCTGCAAGATCATGCCCACAAATCTCAGATTTTTGCAGTAGCAGATCCTCCATCGTTGCCTTCCCACCCCCGAGTCGGACTGACTGGTATCCATAACGGACCTGGCACAGAAGCTCTAGTTGCTTTAGAATTTTCAATTTTACCTGGTCTTCGTACCGTAAGATCATGCCCACAAATCTCAGATCTCTGCAATGATGGCAGATCCTCCATCGTCGTCTTCCCAGCCCCAACAACAACCTTTCAACTGACATGAATTTTGTTTTCTGTTTGTGAAACTCTTTCTTGATCACCCTCATTTTTCACAAATTGTGATTTTTCTTAAGCCCGAGCAAATGTCAAGTAATTCCCTCACAATCCAACCGTTTCTTAGGATTTACAATTGATTCACACGAGAAAATAATCAAAGTACCAAGTGAGAAATTCGAGAAGATGATCAGACTAATTATTGATAGTAGCGGAATAATTGAACTAACTTCTAGAAACGTTGCCTCTTTGGCCGGAAAACTGGTCTTCCTCTTGAAGACTTTCCTCCCTGCCTCCCTCCACTGCCCCCATCTTCACGCATCCCTAGTTGGTTGCAACTGGAATGCCAAGGTGGAACTCTCTGCCAAGTTCAAAAGAGACCTTGCTTGATGGCTTGAACACCTCCCCACTCTTCCCGACAGACTGTGGACCGTCATATCACTGACAACACGGATCCAAACGGACGCTTCGGACTCAGCTGTCGGAGCACTTACCACCCTTAGCTCCTTTGTTGTCTGGAAATCGAGCTTCCCCCTACCAGCAGACCTTTTAGGCACCTAAGCACTCACAAAGAACTCTTTGCAGAAACCGAGGTCTTAAACTTCCTCAGGGAGAGGGATCCTTCTGAACTATTCTCCACAACAATCGAATTGATAGGAGACAACCAGGGTGCTTGTTTCTTGCTAAACAAAGTCAACTTTTTCGACCCCCTCTTCAACTCCTTCCGCAAAACGTATCGTGTCTATCCTTCTTACCTCTAACTGCCAGTTGCGAGCTGTCTGGGTACCCAGAGAACTGAACACAGAAGCTGATTACCTATCCAAGATTGTTGACTACTCAAACTGGGGAATCAATATTAAGATCGTAGCGGAACTTTTTAATTTGTTTGGCTAACCTGCAATTGACCTCTTCGCCTCGGAAGAGAACTTTGTCTTGTGTTCCTTTCATCGGAGAGTTTCTCTCTCCTATAAGTCTGACTGTCAATGCTCTGTCATTGGACAAGAGAATTCTCCCTGGCTTGCCTTATAGATGGGTTTTCTCTCCAAACTGTCTCTTATAGCAAGTCTTAGCCACGACGAGGGCGTTTGGAGGAGAACATCTTCTGATCGCTCCAAGCTCCTCAAAGGCAAACTGGTACCCTGCAATCCATGAATGCAACACGGACAGTCAATCTAGAGAAGAGCTTTGACACCTGCTTCGCTACAGGCAGAGTACCCAAAGGAGCCTTCAATCCGGGGAAGACTAAACTTACAGTTAGCAGATTTGCGATACCTACAATCACTTGTACCCATACTCGTAACGCATGAACAATGAAAAATGCTTCCAAGTGCCTTGCCCCAACATTCTTTCTAGACTCCACCCCGCTTGTATTCAATCTCTAACTTCTCCAACCCTCAAACTGTGACTGCTCTTCCCTGCATACATTCCCATTGCCTTCAGACAATTTTTTAGCCTTTTACTAAACCCGCTCAGGCTTAACATACCCTTTGTCTACATACTGCGAAAGAGCGGACCTCTATCACGTATATCAATGGGCGGAACCAAGCTGTTGTAACATTCTCGCAACTCTTCCACGAACTCTAGGAAGGTAGTACCTGCACCTTGTCGTTCTTGTAACACTATGACCCCCTGTCGGCCTCGCCTCAAGGTCTTCGTATAGCCAGGCTGCACATGTCCAACCTCCTCATCAATATCCCTCCCCTGAAATCGCTGACCTTCTCCACCTCTCTGCCAACTCTCCCAAAGATAGGTCATGATGCAAAGATTTTTCAGTAGCTCTACATATCTGAAAC